ACTTCTTTTGAGATAGAAAATGCGGTAGAGAACTCTAGCATGAATTATCGCTTATTGTAGTTTGCAATGGACTGTTCAAGTGTGGATCTCATATAAAGATATTGCTGTTCAAGAGTTTCAGCTCTTCTAAAGCTAGTAAATGGCCGATTAAGAGCCAACCATATTGGGCTGCCATTGATTCAAGTCGATTGGGATTTGTTGAGTAGCTTATGTTTGTTATGGATCCATTGTGGTATACTTCAATTTTATGCCTCATTTCCAAAATGAAATGAATAGAAAATTCTTCATGCAAAAATTCGAATGCATTCTTCGTATGGCCCAGCCTGTATGCTGCATATTTACATGTCGATACAGTATAATTCAAGCTTTCCCTTGGCTCATGGATCGTGAATGAACTCATCTTGAAAATAGTTTCCATAGAAATTATGCATTACTTTCTGTCTCTTCAGAATGATGCTTGCAGTTGAGTGGAAAGCTTGTGGGGATTGTTCTTTTAGGAAGCATAGGCTTGGCCATAGCCAAAAGGCTGGAGCCATTTGGCTGCACCATCTCGTAGCACTCGACGACAGGGAAATCTTCCACACCCTATACATTATTTTCCGATATTTTGCCATCTTGTGTCAGTGAGTGAAATCCTCATTGTGGCTTGTCTTCTCACCTACAGAATATGCCACATCATTAATGAGGATGTTCTGTTGGCTTCAGGTAGAAAGGGGGTAGTCATTATCATCGTGCATGGGGTCCTCATTATGAGAGATAAATGGTGAGATGCTTAGTGTAAGGAAAGCATGGGGGATGTTGGTCTAGATGTATATGAGAATGAGCCAAATGTTCCCATGAAGCTGTTCTCCAAGGATAATGTTGTGCTTTCTCCACATTTAGCTGTCTCACCTCGGATTCAATGTCAGCTCCTGAAGATGTGGTTGTCACCAATCTCATGGACTCCTTTACTATTAGGCCATTGTTATCTTCAGTGGGTTGAAGGCTTTCCTTTTTTTCAAAACCACCAAAAAAAAGAAAAAATAAAATAAAATAAGGGATCTTGATCCCTGGAAAAAAAAAAAAAAAAAAAAACAAACAACAACAAAAAAATTAAGGGATCTTGATCCTTGAACAAAAACAAAAAAAAAAAGAAAGAAAAAAACAAAAACAAAAAAAAATTAAGGGATCTTGATACCTGACCAAATGGGATCTTAAACCCTACGGAAGGGGATTGTGACCCCACTGAAAGTGGAAAGTGGAAGTGAGATCCTGGTTTGAAGGGGATCTCATCTTAAATTTTTGAAATTTTGAACCCAATGTCTTTGAGTTTGTGTTGATTTTTTGTTTTTTGATAAATTTCTAGCTAATAACCACCTGTACATGATCTTTGTTATTTGTTTTCATGGTCTTAGTTTGCATCAGCGGTTGAAAGCTGGTGAACTGACATGGAAACTGGGGTGGCCCTCAGTCCTGAATCTTCTTGATCCAAGATATTACCCGGTTTATCCAAAACTGGGTGTTTCCTACTATAGTGAATCACCATGTCTCGCTCAGCTCAGTTCATTGTAGCGACTCAGGCTGTTCCTAGTTTGGTTCTTATCATGGCCCTACAATCTCATTTTCCTCAAATTTTTTAAGGGATTTTCAGGTTATAGAGTTCTTACTTTTCATAAGCTAAATAGTGAATATGGAATTTTTATTTTTTCTTATCACTCACACACACACACACATAGGAAGCTCCTCAAGCACTCCCATATAAATATACTGATCCCAGGCTCCCACTTCCTCGCTAGGTTCCACATCCACTACTAACAACTATGGTCCATTGCCGCCAAAACCTCTTACGTCTTTAGTTGTCTCTTGAACTGTCTTTGTGTTTCTCTGGAATCCCTAATCTGTTGGGATTATGTCATCTCAAGGTCTTAAAATTCTGACATTGCAATGGCTCTTGATTTCAGTGGGAGTAAAAAAAAGCGACATGACTTCAATATCTAGGCGCACTGGGACCAAGAGTCATGGAACACTGAGAGAGTCATAAGGAGGATTTGTATGCATGGAAAATACCAAGAGGGTTGATGACTAACTCTAGTCAGAGTCGGTTATTATTATTGAGCCTCGTGACTATGTGATGGGTCAAGGTGATGTGTTTTATGTGATTTATGATATGAGCTTGATGACCGAATAAGCTCTATATGGGAATGTTAAGGCTAATAGAGGGCATTGGTCTGAATCCTTGACTTATAGAACCTTCTCATAGTATGTTCATAAAACAATGGCAAAACATGGGAAGCCGCTCTTCTATGATCTATTGATAAGAGGTATGCACATGTGTCAAGAGAGAGGAGGCCCCGCACCATGTTTGGGCATGTCCTAGAGGAGGTGCACCTGAAATCCTCTAGTACTTGGGGACTCAAGGTCACTCATTGGATTCACTTTGATAAGCTATATCATGAACCCGTAATTGGATCATGAGTTTGTTGGGTCGTACTAAGAAGGTGGCTTTGGATTCCGAGTCTAGGTGAGTGGAGGAGTGCTCAAATTCTTAATTCAGCTCCAAAATTCTTAATTACCCTTGGAAATATTTTTAAACAGTTTTAAAATTATTTATTTTAATGGAAAATGGTTAAAAGGAATTTTGTGAATTTTTAAAGATTTTTTCGTATTTTTCTGGGCAAGAAAATGTGTTTTCCATAATTGTTTTAGTAAAATGACGATCAAGGACAGATCCCCTCGGGACCCCCATGAGACACCCAAATAACCAATGGGTGTCCACATGGGCCACGGGGGCCTCCATGTCAGCCCCACATGGAGATGACGTGGGGGTGACTTCATCCCCACCCCCAACCCCCCCCATTGATAGGGCCTTTTAGTCATTGCGTAGTTTGTTTTAATGGGGGATTTTTTATGATGTTGAATTTTGTGTAATTTTGAAAATTAGAAAATGATTTTAGGCACATGTTAAATGCAAAAAAAAAGTGGTACGTGCACATGTGGGAGCAATTCTAGAAGGGGCATAGGGTTTGATATTTCAATTTAAACCCTAAGGGCATGTGGTAATTGTGTGTTTGACCAACTTGCACATGTGGCATCTTTTCGTTGGCTATTCAAGCTCTTTCAAAATGGAGGGAAAGTTTTAAATTTGATTTTGCTGGAATTTAGCCTAATTACCTTATGGGTATGCCGTCTAACTTGGTTTTAAGTTTAATTATTTGGAAAGAGCAAGGGTATTTTGAATAAGTGGAATTTGGAGTGAAACATGGTTTTTAAAAAGGATGATAAAGGTGTTTAAATCTATGCCACACATCAAGATGGCACGATGGTGAATGATGGGCTAGGTTCAAGCTTCTATTTGTAAGATGATGACATGAAAGGCCTCGATTCATTTATCTAGAATCATCTATACACTTGGTGGCTAGAAGCCTATAAATACCCCCTCACTCGTTCATTTCCTACACACTTGCATCTTCACTTTCTCTAAGTGGCACACCACTCTCTCTCTCCATATCTCCTAATGTGACCCGCCCAAGCCAATTTTTCGCTCTCTCTCTTCCTCCATGAGATCAAACTTAAGTGAATGATCAATTCTAGTGAGAGAAAGCTCCATTGATGGCTCTATTGAAGATCAATTTAAGCTCAATTAAAGCGATGGATGATCTAGCAACCAAGAGGTCCTTCAATTGAATAAGATCTAATCCTTCTTCCATTGATTTTGAAGTTCTTTCTTGCTGTAAAATCCAAATTACAGCAAGGTTTCTTGATCTCTAAAGTTCTTGATTCATAGTTCCTTGACCTAAGATTGATTCATATGGTTGATGGCTTCTTCCATACTTGATTGATCTACTTTCTATGAGAGTTCCTTTGTGATTTGTGGTGTTTATTTGACTAATATTTTTCTAAGATTTTGACATTAAGATCAGTCAACTAAAACTACTAATTGATGGATCTAAATGGTGATTTCACATCCATATAATTGATGGCTTCATCCATGCCTGATTGATCTAGTTTTTATGAGATTTTCTTTGTGAAATTAGGAGATTTATGACTGTTATTTCTCTGAGATTTTGACATCAATATCAGTCAATTATATCTCATATTAAATGGATCTTAATGGTGATTTTATAATGAGAGACTATGGCAAAATTTCCTCTTACCATACTTATGCGAAACTGGTTCTGTAATCTAGTCTTTCCTTCTTTCCCATGTGCCCACTATTTATTTGATCAGTTTGATATTTGAAAAAACCTGTCATTTTTTCAAGTTTATATCAGTAGATGCTTGGCTTCCCACCTTTGATAGATTGAATTTGGCCGGAATTTAAGATATGCGATCACATGTCACACTATGGTACATAGCTAAAACCTAAGACCTGAAATGCACACCCAAGAGCTCCGATTGGCTTCCCATGAATATTTAGCGTTGTTTACTTGAGCATTTGTTTATTGTAATATGGAGATCATGATTTGATGAGTTTTATGGTGTCATATGATGTATAATTTTGCATTGTAAATTTGCATGTTACTGATTTTTAGAAGCACCTCATACAAGTGTTGTACATTGATCTCTTTTGTGTAGTCTTAAGTTTTCTTGGATAAGGGATCCAAATTGAGTTGTATCCTCTTTGTGTTTGAGTCTATAAGAAGTGTTTGATGACTGTAATTTCATTGATGTGGTTGTAATTGACGCTTGTAATGGCATTTGTGTTGTAACTTGTAAGAATTTTGAGTTGCAGTGTCAAGATTATCATACATTGTCAAGTATAAGTTTTTGTATTTTGGCTTCTATACGCCCTCATAATCGTCATTAAGATCCAGTTATAGAGCACTTTCACAGGTGAGATGCCATCTATTTATTTGCCTTGCCTGCAGATCAAGTGGCTACTCAATGTGGCATAAAATTCATGAGTGAAATCATATCTCTCAGCTTTTAGTGGTTGTTCGCTTCATAGGTTGTGTGTACACGATGGTTGATGCAAAACATGGTTTTCTCATTACTAACTTTCTAGACAACAATGGTTGCAGTTGAGTGGTAAACATGTGGGGATTGTTGGCCTGGGAAGCATAGGCTTAGCCATCGCTAGAAGGTTGGAGCCCTTTGGCTGCACCATCTCTTATCATTCAAGGACAGAGAAACCCTCCACGCCATATACATACTTTCCTGACATTGCCATCTGGCATATGTGAGTGACATTCTCATTGTGGCTTGCCCTCTCAATGACAAAACACACCACATTGTGAACAGGGATGCTCTGTTGGCACTGGGGAAGAATGGGGTGCTCATCAATGTGGCTCGTGGTGCTGTCATTGACGAGAAAGAAATGGTGAGATGCTTGGTTGAAGGAGAGCTTGGGGGTGCAGGTCTTGACGTATTCGAGAATGAGCCTCATGTTCCTCATGAACTGCTCCTCATGGACAATGTCGTGCTCTCTCCCCATTCTGCTATTTTTACCTCAGAATCACTTTTAGCTGCTGAAGATATTGTCCTGGGAAATCTCAAGGCCTTCTTCTCAAATAGGCCATTGCTATCTACAGTGGAGTGAAGGCCATGCTTTGTTCCTTTGACTGTCTTCCAAGTTCCGAGTAGTAATGGAATGGAAAGCAGCATGAATGACTACCTCAATCGACCATGCCATGCCATCTTAAGAAATTTGGTAGGCTAACCGTGGCGGTATCCTCTTCCTGAAGTGCACATGGAGCCCCAAGAGTACTACACTCTCCAAAAACTCTTGGTTTTATGCAGTAGTAAATTGGGTGTGAATTTCCCTAAAAAGGTTTTTTGTTATTTCTGTGGGGTCTTGTAATTGGCAGTGTTATCACGGGGTAAAACGAGTGCCTTTCTGGATTTTCATTTGAGAAACTGTCTTGTGGGGTGAGGACAAGGCAAGTGCAGAATAAAATGTTTCTTCACAAACATTGTGAAATCACGTTAGTGTTCCCTCATTCATAAAAATAGAGCTTTGTTGTGTAGGAGTTCTATTACATTGGCTTACATTCTGCCATTAATTAATGCTGATGAAGATTAAATGTACGAATTGAAAATTTTAACTGAATGCAGTGGTTCTTTTTGTACAAGAGCCCTTTTCCTTTTTCTTTCACAGTTAATTTAAAATATAGTGAGATGCATCTTTCTATATTTTAAATTAACCATGACCCGGAGCCATTCCTGCTCTTGATCCCGGAGCCCTTCCCACTCTGGCTCCCGGTAACTATAGTTTGGAGGTGTGCCATTCCCACTCTGGCTCCGGTAAATATATTATATATTTGAAATAAATTCTCTACGGTCTGAAACTTGACTCAACTGCTGACTGTAGAGGACACACGGATGGCAGATCATTTCCTCTTCCCTTTTAATTCGACCCCTCGGCTTTTATGTATATATATATATAATTTTATTTTTCTCTATACCAAATTTATTACTTTCAACTATTCATTTTCAGTTGCTTTCAGATTCGCCACATTTAGAGGATCTTCAAATTCATAATCAAAATTAGATGTTCCAGCCATCGTTTCCGGCTATATTTAGAAAGGGAAAAGTTTGTAGAGGGTGTTAGCATATCCTTGGACCAAGGGTGGCAGCTGGCTGGGTTGGCCCTGATGCCCCCCATGGCCAATGCTAAGATCGGGTAGGTGAAAAACAAATAAAGAAAAAAAAAAAAAAATTAAAGAGAAAAAAAGGGTCAGCTGGACCAAAGCTGGCCGACACTGGCCGTATCTCGGTTCTCACGCCCCAATTTTGTAGTCTAGGCCCTACTTTCTTTGGGCCGGGGTAACAGGATCGGGCTCGCCCCTGCCTCTTGACCCATGGCCAGTACAATGACCCTCGTCGTGGGTAAGGCGTGGTCCCAAACCAAATCTCCATGCACGCACTGCCACCTGTCTCCGTCGTTGTGGCCGTACGCCTTTGTTATTTCCATCTGACGCGAACCATGTCGTCCCGCACTACACAAAACACCACAAAATCCGTACGATCCCAGCCGTCCGTCATCCTCCAAAGACAAAACAACATAGAAGGGATTAAGTCGCAGATCGATCAATTGACCGATTACGTGGCACGCGGAAATAACGTCCTTCCGACACGTTTCATCGTCATCCCGCAGATATTTTCTGGATGGATTCCGATGTCCTAGAACCGCCACGTGTCACACCACCATCGACCCAAACTCGAATCCGACAATCGTGTCCGCGTCTGCATCGCCGACTCCCAGATTCACTAACCGACACATGCGCAAATGTCATACGCTAGTGCCCACGTGTCGGTCCATCATAGGTACAGTTAAAGCATATATCTGTAATGTTCCAACCGACACGTGTATTCCCCTGTTTAGGGTTTAGGGTTTTATATAGCGGAGTCGCGAGTGAAGCAGCAGGAAAAAGAACAAAAAGAGAGAGAGAGAGAGGGGAATCGAATGGATTTAAAAAAGCAGAAAAGGTGGAGGAGGGATGAGGAAGAGCGCGGGTTTCTAAACGAGCGGGTGCTAATGCTGGTGTTCAGGCGGATGAATTGGGAGCCCCACGCCCTCAGCCACGCCGCCTGTGTGTCGAAGAAGCTCGAGGCTGTTGCGAAGCGGCTGCTGTGGCGCGAGTTGTGCGTCGCGCGGGCTCCTCGCATTGTGGCGGCCCTCACTGCGGAGGCACCGTCTGGGCGCATTGATGGCGGGTGGCCGGCCCTCGCGAAATTGTTCCTCTTCTGCTGTGGGTTCCGGCCCTCACGTCACTTTAAAACTGAGGCTTGCCTCCCGGGCCACTCTGTGCACCAGTCCCGGTTCTCGAAGACGTCGGGAAAGAGCTTCCTGTTGAGGCAATGCAGGGGGGATCTGTTGTATGTGAGCGACCCCTGCGAGCATAGCATTGGGCACTGTGAAGATGAGATTGGGGTGTATAGAGGAGTGTTCAGGAGGTTCGGGAAGTCGAGGACTTTGGCATGCTTGATAAGGCGGAGAGTGAGGCTGGAGGCTGGGACTGTGTGCCCCTACTGCCGGGCCGGGGTGTGGAGCATGACAGCGGCAGGGATGGTGCCGAGGAGTGCGGCGCGGAGGCTGGGGGCATGCGATGGTTGCCTGGAGTACTTTGTGTGCGTCAACGGCCACTTGCATGGCAGCTGCTGGCTGGTGCCCTTGTCCGCCGACGAAGGTGATGATGATGACGCCGAAGATATCGGTGATGAGAAGCCTAACAAAATCTCGGGCTTTTGCAATTGAGAGGTTTGATTTTGGGGCCGGGAAGTACACGAGAGGACACTATTTTTTGAAGCTCCCCTCCTTTTCCCTGCTATTTGTGCACTGTAAGATTGGTGTGTGAACATTTATTCAAATAAAAACTCCTTCCCTCTACTTTTTCCTCCTCGGTGGGTCGGAATCTACTGTTTTTGTTGGCATTAGGGGTCGGGTATGTCCGAGTAGATATCACATAGCCCCGGTGGGGTCTGTATACCGCACTTTTTTTTAAAATTATTGCTACATGGTTTCTTCCTCTGTTTTCTGAGTTATTATTATGTTTTTTTTGGTGACTTCCTGATTTATTACAGAATTCAATGCTCCTTTTCCCGCTACGTACCGTTTTCAGTTTCGGGGCTACGCAAAATCTAGAGACGAAAGTGTCACAGTCACCACCCATCTTAGCAAGTGGTGCGTGCCATCTCTCTCCGTTACTGCCTCTGGACGGTGATGACACTCGTTGACCATAGATTTTTTTGTTCATAGAGACCCAGTGATCCGTCCTCAAATAATTACCGTACTAGGGAAGAGCGACACAAGGTGAAGCTTTATACTTTGAGAAAATACCTCCAATCAGAGTCTTAGTCTTAGTCTTAGTCTCCTCCAAAATTCCTTTTTATTCCCACCAACCCTTCAACTCTCTAAACCTCCCTCACACACACGCATTCTCTCTCTCTCTCTTAAGCCCCACCTTCCCTCAACCTCTCTCTTTCTCACCCCTTCACAATTTTCATGATTTTTGTTTTTCTTTTCCCCTTTTTTGTGTGTTGTTTTCATTGTCCTGCAAATTGAGAAAACATTGCACCCAATTTAGGGGAAGATAGGGCAAGTGAGAGACAAATGCAAATTGGCAAGAACATTGCCCAATTTGGGAGATGGGCCACAGAGAGGCAGAGAGAGAATAAAAAGAAAAACAGACAAATTGAATTTAGGCTTGCGTAGTTCGCAATGCTATATTTCAAGTTGAATCCTTTTGAACTATTAAAAAAAAATAAAAATAAAGTGGAATTCAGAGTTTTGTCGAGGGCAAAGATGAGCCATTAAAGTTAAAAAATATGGGGAGGAAGGAGTTACCACGAGTAATTTTGAATCATAGAGGGAATAGTAGGACCATGATACTAATTCTTGGGGTCACGGAAATATTTCCATTATATGTTGACAATAAACTGCAACATTAATAAAAAACCAAAAATGCATTTAATAAGATTATTTATTTTAGAAAAATGGAGCCAAAATCGTTATTGACTGCAAGATGTGAAATAAGTGACTGTGGTAATATCATTAACTCAACATGAAATCTAAATAACATTTCTCAAACTTTGTGATATATTTTTAATTATTGGACGTCACATCAGATGGTTGTTGATCTTTTTATACCAAAAATTAAATGATCCTATATTTGTTATCGGTAGCTTCTAATAATTGCATAAAGTGAAAATTATTTTATTTCTGTTTATCTTTTGCATTCATCCTCATAGCTGAAATTTTTAAGTCATCTAAAACTTCCCCTATCAGTCCGACAATTTTTTTTTTCAACTGTTGGAGGGTCGACCTCGGTTCCAAGAACTTTCCCCAATATCGAACGCGCCTTAAAATATATCTTTCAAAATGAGGTAAAACATTCACCCAAAGGATGAAATCTAGAAAATTCAAACCAGAGGTCAAAAGAGCTCGGCCCTCATTTCCTTGCTTTCTTCGAAGTCAAAAGAGTGATGAAGCAAAGTGTCTGATTACTTCCCATCTTTCGGATTATCTGCTCCTTACGGTAGGAAACTTATATTTCCAGTAATATTTTGTGCCGTAGATGGCACATTATCCGCGTTTATATCCGAAATTTTGGAACAAAAAAGTATTTCCGTAAAAAAAAAACATTATTTTTCTCATTTCAAGCTAAAAAAAATAAAGAAATCTATGTTTTTACTCTCAGAAATTGATTTCTAGTCTGATTTTCCCCTACAATCAATTTTGCCAAAACACACCTATAAATTAAAGAGAGAAATTATCTACGAGAGACAGAGAGAGAGATCATTATGGCAAAAATTTTTGGTAAGCTAGAATGTTCCATACAAATGAACCTGACAAAAACTTGGCGGTGATTCAGCCCAATTATTTGGGGATCTTTAAAGCAGGGATCTCTTTATTTATAACCAGCTAGCAATTCAACAATATTAAAAATATAATTGCATTGCTAGCCACCTATAAATAAAGAATCATCTGTTTGAGTTTTTATCTTGGTCTTTAAGATGGGGATCAAGATTCCTAAAAGTAGGTAACAGTATTCCAAAATTTGAATATCTCACTCTCTTAAAGATCCCTATCCTAAAGCGTTGGAGTGAGATTCAGGAGTATAGGTGTGGCGATTGGGCTGGGCCAACTTGTCGACTTGATAGGTCAACCGGTCCTTGGTTTAGTTTTGGACACAAATATTTGGACCCAATGGGTCAAGTCATATTTGGATCCAGTGGGTCAAGTCTAGGTATGGATCCTTCCTAGAACTTTCAATCCGAACAAAACCGATGCGGTTTGATATTTATATATAATATTTTGGTACACATCACAAAATATTTGTAATAAAATTCATTTTTCTTTTATCCATGCAAATACCCAACGTGGCAAGTTGGTTCTGGGTCCAATAGCTTGGACCTCACATGAATTTGGAACGGGTCCTCGTCGAACTCCAATAGGGTCCGGGTCAATCTGGACCCAACCCTACACATTAACACCCCTACTAGAGTGAGATGTTTCCTTTCTAAGCAAAACATCCACTGAACACATGTAGAGGATAGATCTTTCCTTTCTAAGCTGCCAAAAAGATTGCAGGGAATCACTCTCCATAACAACCTTGACATAAATATGAACAACAGACAAAGGAATTGAACATCAGCAGCAAACAAATAATAAAGGAACCAAATGTAACACTTGCCATTTTTTAAGGAATCTCCAGAAACAAGAAGCAATTGGGTTCCATTTCAAGCTCTCTATGAAAAACGAACGAGAATAAAAGGTGATCACCAGCCTAGGATTCAAACCTAAACATGTAAAAATTTGGGATGGGAATCCCTTGTCAAGCTCAACCAATCTCTTAAAATCAACAAATCCAACATCTAGCGCAGTTGGCATATCAAGCACCTATAATACTCTCTGGCGATATGATATCAATCAAACTTGAACAAAACATTAGTATCTAATTGCATATCCAAAGTAACCTGAAAGCATCGCTAGAGATCGTCCCAAATGTATCAAGCAAAAAGGCAAGGGAATAAAAGAAGACTCAAAATACCCCATCCTTACATTGATCGCATCTGCAAAAGACCAAACACCATGGAAAAGGTCACCTACAACCAAGACTTTGTAACCAATAAAAAAGCCGATTCATGATTTACCATTATTAATTCTTACCCCTCGTTTCCATTCATAACTTCGTAGAGGAAATATAGGAGGTGTCACAATTATACAACCGTTTCTCATATCTCACCATTCATCACAAAGAGAGTTTAAGATTCTAAGTCAAGCCCCTTTTTCTCAGCTCATTGATTTATGACCATGTAGGAGCACGAAAACAGAATTCACGACTCACCAAACCATATTGAATCTGCAGTGTTTCATTAAAGAAATGACCACACAAATACATGCCTCTGAATCTCTTCTACTGTTTATCTTGTTAAAGATCCAGTTATACCTTTTTTATAAACTTTAGCAATTTAGGTTTCATTAAAATTACTTATAAGGGCATTTTTGTAATATGTATCCCATCATCTATTATTAGCCGATCCCAAATAGTTAGGAAAATGCTCTGATGATGATGTATCACATTGTTTACAGCGTGAAATCGAGATCTCAAATGTGAGATCCCCTGATCTATCACTATGAAAACTAATTAATTAAATTTTTGATAGAGAAGTGGGAATGGTCGAATTATGATTTAAAGACTAATTAACATCAATAGGCCAATTTCTCTTCAAATCATTAGCAGTGCCAGTATGATATTTTCGCCAAAATACAGAAAATCTACTGCAAAATTAAATCTACCTAAAAAGAATCAAAATAACTAAAATTAAAGAAGAGAAGGACATAAAAGTTTACTTGCCAGGCCAGGTGGCCTGGGATGCTTGAAGTTGGTGGTGCTGCCCGTATCAGGATCGCAGGGTATTTATGCATCCTTTTCTTGCCTTCACTTTTCTCTTTGAAATTGGTTGGCTTTTCACTCTGAAATCTGTTGGAAATATTGGCTATGGATGATTGAGAGAGGTTAAAATTCAATCTAGGGTTTCGTGGCTTAGATCTAAGGTCATGGCTTCTAGGATATAGGGTTTGAAATATGTAGGGTTTGAAAATTAAAGCTCTAGACTAAGTTAAGAGGATCTAGGCTAGGGCATTTTTCTCTGGAGTTTGGTTTTAGAAAACTAAGGTTTTGGTATCTCAAGGGTTAGGCTTTTTAATTCTAGGTTTTCTCTAGGAATCAGGTCTCTAGATCTAAAGTTATGGCTCTCCCCTTGAATGACCCGAATAGAACCATTATATAGGCTTCAAAAATCGATTCTAAGTTGACTGGGAATGATTCACAATAGATTTTTACAGAAAATTTGAGCTTATCGGGTCAAGAGGTCTAAACGCCACAAAACACGATGTTTGTAGACTTTTGGCCTAAACATCGCAAAATGTGGTCTTTTAAGATAAAGTTGCCCCGAGATTTCGCTGATCTACTTGTTTTTTATCCAAATTTTGTATTTTCTTGATTCTTACTTATTCCAAAAACTTCTATCTACATTGGTTTTCCTATTTTCTAGTGTTTAGGATAACTTTCTAGATTTTAAGATGGTTTCCTAGGGTTTTAGGATTATCTTGGAGATTCTCTAAGATATTCTAGAAGGTTGGGACCATGGTCTGAGGGACAATGGACCACAGAAAAAAAAGTAGACTATGGTGAATTTGGGTAAGATGGTCTACTAGGCATTTCTTGGGTATTTTTAGGTATTAAATTTTTTTTTAAAATAAAAAAATAAAAAAAGTAGCTAAATTCAAAATGGGGTGTCTACACACATCATCTATTATAAATAAGAGATTAAGTGGTACGTGGTTAATATCTAACCTAAGGGGAATTAGATCGACAGCACACACCTCCCATTTCTTTCTCTCTCTATCATACCACTCTCTTCCTTTCTCCTCGTCTCACTTCTTCCTTTTTTCTTCTCTTGTCTTCATCGTGTTATTTGATGTTTCCTAACATGGTATCAGAATAGATCTTATATTTTCATCATTCCCTTTCCTTGAA